GTGCCCCCCCCCCCCCCCCCCCCCCCCCCCCCCCCCCCCGCCCACCACGCCGCTTACCAAAACAAACACTCAACATGACCCACATACACTGCTGGAGCTGCTCATTACACAGGAATGTGTTGCTGCTGCTTTACATGACACTCAGTGAGGCCATGTGAAGGCATGCCGTCTGTTAGCAAAATATCTCACGTACCACCAGACAAATTTCAATGAAACTTATATGAACCAATCATTGGATGTTCAACTACAACTGTTTAACTTTCGGAGTCAACCTGATGTACGGTGGCCGCCACAATCAACTGATCTCTAAAAACACAAAAATGGCTATAATTTGGTCAGTTTTACAGCTACTGAGCTAAAGTTTAGCGCAGTAATGGCTGAGAATCATTCGCAGCACATACCTGGTGTGTGACATCTTGTGTGTAAATGTGCATTTTCAAGGTTTGACCAAAACTAAGTCCATTGTCTCAACATGAATAAATGCATTTATTCATGGAATACTTACCATACACCACTTCCTTTAATCAGATTTGTGCATTTGATTCCTCTTACGTAGCTAAACTGCACAGCTGGCTTTAACCTTCAGTATATTTAGGGGCTTTGCAGCCATGTTGCGCCCGTCGGCTGGTTTCCCTCGTCTCTGTTTACACACATGATTTTGGGAGCTCAGACTCTGGATGATCTAATCCACTGCGGAGTCTCAGGAGGCCGACTTACTGACAGTCTGGACGTTGGGGGTTTAGCCAGCAGGTCGTCTGCTTTCTCAGCAATAAGGAAGGAATACATCAACAACGCAGCAGGAAGTCCACTCATGCGGGTGTAAAGAGGATTTTGGGGGGTCAAATTTGGGGCAGAGTTGTCTTTACGTGTCTGGAAACAATGCGACAAATCAGAAACCAAAGCAGTGTTAATCAAAACTTTACAATTCGAGACCTTTCTGAAGATATTTCTGCTTAACGTCAAAACTGTGGCCTCCAAACATCAACAGGTGACCCAAATAGATAATCCAATCGTTACGACCCGTCTCCACGCTTTAGGAAAACGCCTTTTGTCGACGAAATGGGATTTGCGAAAGTGCCATCTGGAGACAAGAGCCGGAGCCCCGTCTCGTCCACCTGAGCCGCCCGGCCAGACATTCCGGGTCAAGATCCGGGTCAGGACTGACCTGAGCAGGGAGGGCAGCAGAAATTTAATCCAAAGGAACACGTAATGTTTGGACCTTTTAGCCCTCATGTGTTACTTTAGCTCTAAATAATGTAAAACTATGTGAAGGAGTTACAGAAATAAGAAATAATCTGTTTGAGGAGTTTTCAATCCAGAATAGAATTCAAATCTTACTTCTAACCTACAAAGTCCTCAACAATCTAGCTCCATCTTATATTACAGATCTTATTGTTCCATATTTTCCTAACAGAGCACTTCGCTTTCAGACTGCAGGTTTACTTGCGGTTCCTAGAGTTTCCAAAAGCAGAATGGGAGGAAGATCTTCCAGTTATCAGGCTCCTCTCTTGTGGAAACAACTTCCAGTTTCTGTCTTTACGGCTGACACATTGTCCAGTTTTAAGACTGGGATTAAGACTTTCCTTTTTGATAAATCCTATAGTTAGGGTCTGCTTGTTATGCTGCCATAGACTTAGACTAACGGAGAACAAATTGACCTCATTTCTTGAAATTAATTGTTAAAATTGAATAGTTTTCAATTCAATTCAAAAATACTTTATTAATCCCAAAGGGAAATTAAATGTTGTTGTAACTCATCATCCTCGTTTCATTAAAATATGTTATAGATGCTGATGGCTGTAGGCAGGAAAGATCTCTTGTAAAGGTCTGTCCCACAGCGGATCCGAAGAAACTGGCCGCAGATGCCGTCCGATCCATCCACCCAGACTCAGCTGACCTCTTAGTTCCTCCGGGCAGCTGGAGCGCCTGAATGCCGGACAAAACTCCTCCCAGAGCGATGGCCACACCTCCCAGCAGCCTACCGAGCTTTTTGTTGCTGCAAACAGCCGGCTGCAGGTGCCGGGGGACGATCCTGTCCTTATGCTGTCACAAGCAACTTTTCCTGCTAGTTCCAGAATTTCAGTGGTCAGGCACTCGAGTACAGCCGGCAAGGAGACGGGAATGCATCTACGGCGCCGCCTTTTCAACTAATTTGAAATGTAGGGCTGTAGCTGAGATATTTTTTGAGCTTTTGAGATGTTAATCAGCTGCTCCCGCTTGTAAAAAAAAAAAACCCACCTTGTTGTTATGGTTACGCATCATACCAAATATCCAAAACTAAAAAAAGTTTCAGTAAAAATCCTTCCAGCTGCACAGCATCCGATACCAGAGGAAACAATCATCCAAAAAAAGTGATTTACATCCAGAAAAAGAGGAATTAAAGTTTCCAAAAGCAAAATCTTAGAATGAATGCAACAGAGCTGCTCCCAACATGCAGCCACCTCGAGCGGCTCGATTCTAGAACTTTGATATAATACTTTGTCTTGTTTGATACTATTTCTGTCTTAACATGTGATTCTGGACCTGCCATTGTGTATCTGTTCCTACCAAACCCAGCCAGTCGAAGCATTTGGCCGCTTGTCCTGAGTCGTGTAATTTCAGGTAATCTTGAGTCTAAAACTTACTGCCACCTATTGACTGGCAAACCTGCTGTACTTTACAGTGGGGGCCGACCCTGATCCCTGAGGAACACCATCCTGCTTGTTTTAATTGTTCCTCTACTCCAACACACCTGATTTGAATGAAAGGGTGAATAACGGGCTTCTGTCGAACTTAGGGAAGTAATTAAACCACTGAATCAGGTGTGTTGGAGCAGAGAAAAAACTAAAACATGCAGGGTGGTGTTCCTCAAGGACCATGGTTGGGTACCACTACTTTACTACATCTGTGAGATTAGATGACGATAATCCCGACAAAAACTGTACTTTGACACAAACATGAAGTGTAACTTTGACCTAAATCCGATCCAGGTAATATTTATACTTAATGTCACAATATATTTTATACTTTGAACTCAGGTTGCTTGTGTGAATTCAGTTTTAACCAAATATGACCCTTAATAGAGTTTATGGAATATGAACACACTACGATGTGCTTAAAATGCAGTACCTAGTTTTATTGTTGAGATAACAGTTTGATTGTTTTGTTTACGACACTTGCCTGAATAATCGTTGACCGCTCATCAGATCCATCAAAATAATTACATCTTGGAGGCAAATTGCTGAAAATGCAGGAGTCTCCATCTTGGGTTGTTTCCACATATTGATGGTCACTTTCTGAGAGTTTTGTTCAAATCCGTCCAGTGGTTCAGGAGATATTTTGCTAACAGACAATGATAATGCATAACATATTATGGAGGCGTCAGCTACCTCCACAACAGATTTTAGTCCAATATTCATTAATTCATTCAACCTTTATTTATACAGGTTCATCACGTTGAGCCTCGTGGACTCATGTACAAGAGAGACATGATATCTGTTGACAAGAGTTTTAGCCATTTTTAGGTTATTATTAACTTAGCTGTGGCAGCCATCTTGAATCGAGTTGACTAAAAGATGTCTGGTTTAATTGTAAAGGTTACAGATGACTGATCTATTAATTGTGTATTGAATGTTACCTGGTGAAACTGTTTGTATTTGTATAAATATAATAAATCAAAACCCTGAGGGCAAGTTATGATTCTCAGTTTTACTCTTTTTCATGACTATTTTTTGTCTAAAAGGGATTTTTCAGTCTAAATAAATCAGTACTGAAGCACAAATGTAACACAAGTTCAAATTAATCGCTTTTACGTTTAAAAATGTCTAAATAATTGTTTTACCGTTTATAGCATCAACTCGCTGTACATCCTCAAATTACGCAAACGTGCAGGGCCACGTGCCTTCTTTATGTGGGCGGAGCTACCATGGGACTGTGTAGAAGAGGCTCGACAAAGCTGACCAATGAGAAGCCGTCACGATGACAACATTTACATGTGGCCCCTCCTCTGCGCATGTCTAATGAGGTCAGGACAGTCTCGGATTAAAGTGGGAGAGCTGTGGTTGAGCTGGAGCAGTTTTAAAATTGTCTGTTAGCAAAATATCTCATGAACCATTGGACAAAATTTTATAAAACTTAAAAAAAGTCGTCAGTGGATTCATTTCTAAAACTCTTTACCTTTTGGAGCCAACTCAACTGAAGATGGCTGCCACAGCAGGCTAAATTTAAAAATCACAAAAAGGCTGTAACTCGGTCAGTTTTGCAGATATTGACCTTAAATTTGGTGTGGTGGTAGCTTTAAGTGCTCCCCAAAATATGTTATGAGCACGAACAGATCGTGCATAAACTGTGTTTAAAACATTGCCATCAACTATGTGGAGTCAACTTTGTCTGTTAGTAAAATATCTTATGAGCCACTGGAGAAGCGTTAATGAAACTTTCAGTAAATAATTTCTGGGACTGCCTCTTCAACTGATTAACTTTTGGAGCCGACCCAAATTAAGATGGCTGCCACTGGTAATTTAGCTACTTTTAAAATGGCTATAAACCTGTCGATTCAGCAGATACGGAGTTAAAATTTGGTGTAGTAGTTGAGATTCATCCCCAACACACACTCTTACGACATTCCATCAATTTGCATTCAAAGTTATTTTCAAGGTTAAAAACAACCACAACTCCCGCCATTCCTCAGGTCTTTAACCCCTTAAGAATTTATGTTTTGGACATATCGGACTTCCTTATTAAAATAAAACTATCACCGTTAAAGAAAACCCAAAAAGTCCACGTTACACTTGAATTTTTTTTAATTTTTTTTATTTGAGGTGCAACTGTCTAGTGCAATCGATACGTCACATGTGATGGGCTGAAGGAGCATGCACGAAAACATCAACACGCTTTTCTTCTGCTCGCCGTTTTCTCCTTTCCTCGTGACAAGTGCCGCGTTTTCGTGTTCAGCGCTCCAGTCGCACGACGAGCAACTTGCACACTTCGCTGTACAAAAACAACAAAAAACTAAAAACATGTCATTTACGTGTAAAAAAAAAAAAAAAAACTACACACGTTCCCAAAGAGTCCAGACGGTTTGATAGCAGACGAGTTCTCAGGCGGGACGGCGTCTTTTAGTGTCGAGGTCTGAGATCCTCACCTGTTCCCAACCTGAGTTCTGTTGAAAACCTGGTGCAACCATAGATAAATATATCCACACCGCCAGAGAGGCACGTAAAACATTTATATATGCATCTATGGTTAGAAACCAGGCACTTGGCAAGAGCTGAACTGGAATTGTTTCACCTGTACAAAGTTGACAGTCATGTCACCGTTCGGTACATTTGTGGACATTTATACATCGATAATAGAAATAAAAGCATTTTCCTAATAAAAAAAAAACAAACAAACACTGGTTCCCTACATGAATGCTTCGTCGGAGAACAGTCCGGAGACGCAGAGCCGCGCACGTCCCGTTTCCAGAGAAATGTTTGTCCTTTTTAATTTTGTTAAAAGTCCGTCCACGTTGTTTAAAAACGTTAAATTAAAAAAAAATAATAAGTGCAAATGCACAAAAACGGACGATGTGCTGGTGGAGAGATGGAAGGAGGTGAAACGATGGCGCACTTTCCCCGTCCATACCTTACTTTTTCTTTGTTTTGTCAAAGACGATTGTCTGAAGCAGGCGCTGTGGACGTAGCGGGGGCCGCGCACCGGTGCACCTCGGACTCTTGTCAGTTAAATTAAAGACGCAACAAAAGGGCGATGCACGATCAGTCTTAGTGGTACGACTCCTTCCTCCTCCTCATCTTCTGTCTTCCGTCCCCTCTGTCCCTCATCCTCGGCGGACGTTCGGCGTCCCCCTCTCTGCGTTACGCTGAAGCGCCGGAGCTCTGCGTGGCGGGGAGGATCTGAGCGGTTCCGGACGGGACCGGGGGCTGGGCGGCGCCGGTCGGGGATCCTCCGGTCTGGACCTGGGCCTGGAACTGAGCCATCTGCTCGGGGCTGGCCAGCGTCTTCAGCAGGTTGTTCTCCTGCTCCAGCTGAGTGTTGCGCTCGATCAGCTCCTTGATCTGCTCCTTCAGCACCTCCACCTCCTCGCGCACGGCGTACATCAGGTGGCTCTTCACCAGGTCCTGGAAACAGCGGGAGGACAGAGACGCTTAGACGTCGGCAAAACAGCTACACCTTCTTACAATGTTATTGCTAGTATCACTCGGCCCCCTGTGAATAGCAAGCGGCCACCAGGACACCAACGACTGGTCGTTAGGCCGGTGGTCCTCTATCATGTGAGCAACAAACCGGTTGATCCACTATGACAAGGTGCTATTTATAAGACTGAGTTTAGTACAGCTCCTCACACTGACCAAGTCTTTTGGATAAAAGATGAAACGTGTCAACAAGTTATTTATTTATTTTTATCCGTTCAGAGGACCTGTTTCTACCTGGATTATTGAGCACGCATCAGGATACAACATACTAGGGGTACACCGATCACAGTTTTCTGGCCCATCACCGATTTCTTAAAAGTCTGATCTGCCGATACTGATTTTGTTTTATAAGCGACACTGTCGGGTATTATACGGTCACAATGTTACAATATTATTTTATTGAAAAACATACCCTTGAAGAATATCCTCGAAACAATACAAACTTGTTTTAACTGGCCATGAGGTAGTGCTCTGAAATATAAATTAAGTTTAGATAATTGTTAAAACTAAAAAATAAAATAAAATAAAAAAATCGGTAAAATCGGTTTCTCATGCAAGTATCGGCCGATTTCAGTTTTCCCAAAATTAAGGAAATCGGGGCCGATAAATTGGCCGTTTGATTTATTGGTGCACCCCTACAACGTACCGTATTTTTCAGCCTATAAGTAGGCCTGTCACGATAACAAATTTTGCTGGGCGATTAATTGTCTCAGAAATTATTGCGATAAACGATAATATTGTTTGAAATTTAAAAATAATTAATTGTCAAATTTTAGAAGAAATGTTGATTTGTTTTGCATGTAGTATATTTTTTTGACCACCGGATGGCAGTATATGACTGAACCGAAGGATTGATAGTGAGGGAGTGAGCAGCGTGTCTCTAAGAAAAATGGGAGGGAGGCCCCTTGACGTGACATGGGCTGTCTCTCCTTCCTGTTTTTCGGTTCTCAAAATGGTGGACGCTCGGTGTAGTTTGAGCTCTTCAGCATAGCATTTTTCACGCAAAGATTCCAACTAAAAAAAATTGTAAAGTTCTCAGCTTCTTTTTGCAGAGAAAAACAACTTTTTACACAAAGGCACGGGTTTCAACTGTGAATTTTGGAGCTTCGACAAGACGAAGGTTTTTTCCCCGAAGTCAGCATGTTAGCTTAACTCGTAGCTTAGCTTCTCACCTTAGCTGCTTTTAACAATCCAAAAACGTGATTTTGGATTGTTATTGTGGACGGTTAAAACAGATTTTAAAGAGAAAAGAGAAAGGGAGGGGACCGTGAAGAGCACCGCAGTTGAGCCTTTTGTCATAGTGTCTTCAGTAGAAAGAGAGAGACACGAAGAAACGATAAAGACGATAAATGAAAATGAGGTCAATAATTTTCATTCAACATGTGATTAATTGATTTATTGTTTATCGCGACAGACTTACCTACAAGTCACACTTTTTTTGCATAATTTAGATGCTCTGCGACTTATTTATGGATTTTCCCATATTTATAACACAGTTTTTGGCTGAGATATGATTTTCATTCATTCTGACTGAAATATTGAACACTACCATTTTCAGTCGCTATATGGAGGTTGAGTAGTATGGCATGCCGTTGTGTCATGTAATAGGTAAACTGTGGCTATTAATGACGCAATCGGCTTGCCATAGACTGCCACTTTCATCCAGCTCGCTCGGACCAACCGTCAAACCAGCTGCATTTCGCCGCCCTGGTGAAATGCAGCTGATTTGACCGTCAAAGTGCATTTATTAAGTCAAAGTTCAACTGAGACACACCTTTACTATAATTTTGAGCAAAGAACTAATTGTTTTTAAGTGTTAATCTTGTTTAAGTCCTCCCGTGCACGCTCCCGCGGCCGCCATTTGACAGCCAATTGATTTTTGACACACCGGCCCACCTTTCCAGGTGGTCAGCGGTGATGCATAATAGATGCGACGTATATGGCAAAGTGACGTATTTATGTTTTTTTCCACTTCATTAGACATATTTGGACTGATGCGACTTATAGGACGGTGCGACGTGTAGGGCGGAAAATACGGTAGTCAGTTTTGTGTCACAGCCAATACTCATCTCCAACATTAGAGCATCAACAGTTCTTACAGTTATCATGAGATCATGCATGTTTTTTTTAAGGCTTGAAAAAAAAAAAACATCTATAAATCTGTTTCTTTTCATAAAACTGTCATAAAAAGCGTAGACTGATATGCATTCCTTCAAGAAAGAACTCTTCAATTGCCCAAAAACTACACTCCTGTCAATCAAAATTAATAAAAACAAAGGCGCATTTGATAAAATATGAATGAAATAAAATTACCTAATTTGTTTAAGAATGATATTTCCAAAACAGTCTCAACAACCTGGACAGCTAAAATCTATTTTTAAATTGATTGATTAGAACTGAATTATGGACGTTTGCTTTGTCAGATGTGCTGCATTATATATAAAATTTGCTTTCCATACAGTCACCACTGAAACAAGGAGTCATGTGATTTTTCTAGCGAACAGCATCAACTATTTATATATTTAACTTTCCGTTAACTGTCCGATGAGATCAATATGAAGATTATAAATGAACTCATTTGCCTCCACTTACAAAGATTATTCTTGTTTTTAAGTCAAGACAAACAGATTATCTTAAGCGCAAAGCAAAAGGCATCAATTTCAGTGTGCACGTTTTGGATTTGAGGATGTTTTTGCCATTTGTTGTGCATTTTTGACAACTTGCAACCAAATGTATCGTTTAATCAACAAAAATTAAAATATACAAAAGGTTGTCTCGCTGGGACCGTGGAAGACCAGCTAAAGAGACAAAACAGTGATTAAAAAATGGGCAAATTTTCACTTGAAGCCAAAATTCACACGGAGTTTCGATATTTGACCGTTTATAAACGTGTCACCAGTAAGTCTACAATAGATGAAGTTTAATGAGCGACAGCAAGAAAATCTGTCAGATTACCAGCGTCGTAAATGGGATTATTGTGGGAACGTTTATGAAGCATTCACACGGTTGTGATCCATTTTTCTTCTGTACGTTTTTTGGCGCGTTTCTCATCCCGCTGTTGTAAAGCTATTTCAACAAAACATAATCAAAACATTCAGCTCTTTCAGGACAAACCTGCCATGACTTTTGGTTTTGGTGCAACTTTAGCTTCTTCAAATATTTAGGCTTTTCTGCCACTTTACAGAAAAATGAACTGCGCTCATTTTACAACCTTTTACTGCTCCTTTCACATTTTGTTCTGCTTCAGCTTCTTTCAGCTTCCTTCTGCAAATTTTAACTTTTTTCATCTATTTTCAGCTCATTTCAGCTGTTTATTCAGTAGTTTTGTGCTCCTTTCAGGTGCTTTCAGCTAACTACTAAATTTTTGAGCTTCTTCCAACTTCTTTCTGCTAATTTCAGCTGCTTGTGCTCCTTTCCGCAAGTTTCAGCTTTTTCTACTATTTCAGCTACTATTTAGCTATTTTTACGTTCAATTCAACTTTTTTCAGCCTAATTCAGCAAAAAATGTGCTCTCTCCACCTTTGTCTTGTAATTTCAGCTTCTTTCTTCATTTTTAGCTATTTTCAGCTGATTTTTTGCTAATTTCAGCTTTTTTCAGATATTTTTTTGCGTTTTTAATGCTCATTTCTGCTTCTTTCAGCTTAACTGGGCAAACGTGTTCTTTCTGCTGTCTTATGCTAATTTAATCTTGTTTTACCGTTTTAGCAGTTTTTTCAGCTAATTTCAGCCGTTTTCAGATAAATTCAAGTTTTTGTGGTAATTTCTGCTACTTTCAGCCTAATTAACTTACTTCTGCTAATTTAAGCTTTTTGTGCTCCAATCAGCTTATTTCTGCTAGTTTCACCTTTTTCTGCTCTTTCAGCTACTATTTAGCTGTTTTACACTAATTTTAGCTTTTTCAGCTTATTCCACATTTTTAGTTCATTTCAGCTTATTCCACTTCTTTCTGGCAGTTTAAGCATCTTTCTGCATTTTCAGCTATTTTTTTAAGCAATTTCAGCATATTTTTTTTTTAGCTAATTTCCTAATTTTAGTGCTCATTTCTGCCTGTTTAAACTTAATAAACTTAATTCAGCAAATGTGTGTTCATTCTGCTTTCTTCTGCTAATTTAGGCTTGTTCTTCCATTTCAGCTACATCAGCATTTTATTTTTTTTAGCTAATTTTAGCTATTTTTCAGCAAGTTCTTCTGCAATAAGCATTCACACTGCATTTTCTCAGGAAAAGCAATTTGTCTAGTGTTTATTTAGGATCATTTCAGAGAACGGCTACTTTAAACACTACATCTGGATCCTTGCTTTCGTTCTCTGAGCGGAGGCAGCTTTGCTGGAGGAGGATTTGTTTAATAATCTGAGCATCTCCTCCTCGGTGGTCCCTCCCCATCCTTCCTCCTGCCTCGGCAGAGGGAACAAAATGTTCCTGCTCCGGGGTGGGAGGAGCCAATCAGGGGCAGAGTTATTTATACTGAGCAGAGGGGAGGCTGCAGCTTGCCTAGCAACACTTTGGATGGAGATGTGGAGAAGGAGCAGAGGGGGACAGCGCTGTGAGGAGAACCGAGGGAGGGGGGCGTGGACCTCAGTTTGGTCCAGATCAAGCCAGAGGTCACAAATGTACAGGGTGACACAGCAAGAAGCCTCAAACACCAGCAGGTGCAGACATCTGCAGCAAGCATTTCACTCCATTCATTCATTCACTATCACATATCTCTGTAAATATCCTTAAAAAAAAAAAAACTAACAGGTAACTGTGCACCCCCCTCTAAGAGTCTGCACCCCTGAGTTACATAAGACTTAGGAACAGATGACCCGAGCAGAACCTACCATGGCTTGTTCGATCTTGTTGTCGATGGCCACCACACTGGCACCCGAAGAGCTGAAAGACAGAAAAACAAGGCTCAGCATTCAGGATGATGTAACACTGCGGCTGACTGGAGGAAAACATCTCATCAGGTTTTAAAGCAAAACGAGGGAACATTCAGATTAAATGTGACTGTACATCCATGCAGGCAGACAGAGAGCTTTAACCCGAGCCAGCTTTACCTATTATCAACCGTCACCGGATCCTTTCCGAGAACAGAGGACAGGAACGATATGGAGAAATTCCTCAGCTGACAAACACCGAGGTCCATCGCCACCGTGTAACACTGGGAGTTCATGCTCCTCCGCGCGCTAAAAGCCCCGACCCGTCGGCTGGGAAACCGGGAGACCCAGCGGTATAAAAGTAGAAAAACGGCGCATTGTTGAACTCCGCGCGGCGGGTCGTGGTTAGAGGTCACCACCACCCGCCACCGCCGGGGCGACGGAGCAGCTCGTAGCCGGGACGGAGTACACAAAAGACCGAAGCGAGAAGCTGCAGCACCGCGAAGCTTAGCTCTCCTTCCCGGATAATGCATGCAAAGCACCCGCGTCTGATTGGCTGAGCGGGGGAGCTCATTAACATAATGTTTGAAGCGGCTTTCTGATTGGCTGAGCGGAGAGCTCATAACATAATATAAATAGAACTCCGAAGCGTTTTTCTGATTGGCTGACCTGGGAGCTCGTACTCTGATGCGCCTTTCTGATTGGCTGAGCGGAGAGCTCATTAACATAATATAAAAATAACTGATTGGAGCATCTTTTTACTTTAACTCGACTTGACACGACTGAAAACTACAAGCATGGATCCCAAGCTAACTTCCGTGTATATTTTAGCGTTAAATCACACATTATCTGTGTTTTTAAATATATTAAGTACAAAATATTTTGTCAACAAACACAAGCTGTTAAGCGGAGTAATGTCTCCCCCTATGGGTCGAAAATGGTAAAATGGGCGAAGGCGGACTTTGTTATTGTGCGTCTGTTAGCAAAATATCTCATGAACTACTGCACGGATTAAAATAAAACCTACAAGAATTAATCCTTGGATGCACATCTACAACTGGTAAACATTTGGAGTCAACAAGCTTTAAGATGGCTGCTGCAGAAAAATAAATAATTAAAAAAAAAACACAAAAACTATAAGTCATTTAACAGATTTTGACCTGAAATTGGGTGTCATGGTAGCCGAGACTGATCCACAACCCATAATCCGAGCACCAACAGGCTGAGCAAGATCTGAGATAACATTGTGCACATTAACGCTTCAGAGTAAACCGCCTGTTAGCAAAATATCTCGTGAATTACTGGATACATCTGAATGAAACTCTCTGTAAATAATCACTGGGAGTAACTCTAAAACTGATTCATCTTTGGAGCCAACCTAATTCAAGACTGCCACCACAGCAAACTGATCTCCAAAAACACAAAAATGGCTATAAGTCAGTCACTTTGACAGACATTGTGCTCTGATTAAACGTGGTAGTAGCTGAGAGTCATTTAAAACTCCTGCTCTGAGCATCACATCTCTTAGATCACACTTGTCATTTTCAAGCTTTGTCCCAAAAGGTGTCATTTCTGAACATAAGACGAGTCTAAAACTCTGGCATGAAGGACGTCGGATGATACTCCTTCAAGGAATGTTACGCCTTTATTCTGAATTATTGATCAAGAAAAGATTAAGCTAATGATTAAGCTAATTATCAATGTGCATGCTCAATAATCCAGGTAGATAAATCTAGTTTAACAACTGGGCACTTTATGTTTCAAGACTTGCATCTACTTTTATTCTTATTTTAGAAACTAAAAAAAACAACAACAACAAAATGGATGTAACAGCCTCACAGATGTGTTGCAAACTCAGAAACGTGTTCTTTTTCAATTGGCGGCATGAAGGTGTGGACTGTTGTCGTCGCTATGGAAACGGGATAAACAGCATACAAAGAAAAGGAAGTGCAATTTGTGTGCACAGCTGGGGTTGAGACAAACCAAAGCTTTGAGAGTCTCCTCTTCACCTGTTTGTTCATGACCATACAGTTTTTAATCAGAACGGATCTCAATATCTGTAAAATACAGTTACAGCTACTTTTTTTGTTTTGTTTCTTTGCTAAGGTTGATGTGCTGTGGTGGCCATCTTGAATTGGGTTGACTCCCAAATATTTGGGGAGTTGTGCCAAGCATTCAGTCAGGTGTCGCAAACAAGATACACTGGAATCCACCCGATGAACTACATCGTTTCACTGGTATTGGCTGAGAAAACGTAAATAAAATACTGTAATTTCTGGACTATTGGGCGCACCTGAATATAAGCCACGCCCACCGAATTTAAAAATAAATAAAATTGTGCATATTTATTAATAGGGGGTGCAGAATTATTATTATTTTTTTTAAAGAATCTAGATTCCTAGTCCTGGCGATTCTGAATCAATTCTAAAAGCCCATAAATAGATTTTAAAATGTGTTAAATTTTATTTTTTTCCGCTCCTACTCCTGAGCATACTGCGTATCGCATTACGTGTCCGCTCGGCCGCCGTAGAATTTTGGCCGTGTAGGCCACCGTACAGCAAGCTAGTTAGCCAGCTCCCTTTATCTGAATGGAGTCTGCTAGCTAGGGAGGACGGTGCGAATCAACCCGTTTCGTCGTCTCTAAAAATCATTTCAGATACTACAATGTTCCGGGGAAAGACCGAGCTTAACAAAAGCACGTTTTTTTTTTTTTGTTTTTTTTTTACAAGAAGTGTAAAATAAAATTACGGTACAGTATTTTGGAAATATACGACAAAATGCACAGAAGATGAAAGCGAAAGCAGCAGATCAGTGAACTCTGCTGCAAAGATTTCCCTCTCCATCTCCTGCTATATCACAAAGGATTTACGAGCAAACAGCTCAGTGGAAGGTGAGGGGTTTAGCTTCATTTTTAATAGGCTAGATCCAACGTACGTTATTCCTTCATGTAGATAAAAGCTCCACACAACTCCCAACATGAAACAAAAACAACGTGGGAGAAGTTCTGATGCAGCTGTAGCTCAAAGGTAACAGTTTTTTCTCATATTGTACTAAAACTTATATAAACAAGTTATACAACAAACTTTATATAATTTGTATTTTTAACAGGTTGAAGAGGCCAGATGAGACACATCTGCTGGAGCCAGTTCTAAATGATACAATTTATGATTTATAAATTACAGTTCAGAAGAGTTTTTGTGCAGGTTTGCACAGGTTTTGAAATTTTGTTAAAGATTTACCAAATATGAATCAATATGGTTAAAAAAAATGTGAAGTCTGTTTTTTATTTTGAGTTAAAGGTTAATATACTATGGTAGGCTGAAGTCTGTTTACTTTTGTATTTATATATTTTGAATTATTTGTCTGTGATGGACTGGAGACCTGTCCAGGTGTCCCCCACCTCTTGCACAGTGATTGCTGAATATGGGCACCAGTGACACCCGAGACTCGAAATGGAAGAAGTGGGTAAAGCGGATGGATGGATTATTTGTTCCTAGATTTTTTTTTTTTGAGAGAAATCCAGGCGGCTAAGCTAACCTAATACTGGTAATTTAAGTTACATAATTTTATGCACTCCTGTATTTGTTCCTATTTTTGTTATAAATATAAAACGATGCAAAAAGATTTGATACAGTAAGGAACCTAAAATTATTGTTTTAAATAAAGGTTCTATTTGTTTACATTGTTGTTTTTTTTCTTTTCAGCTCGTCAGTTACATAATTGAAACAAAATGTATGACCATTTCAATGGAAAAATCGTTTCTGAATCGTAAAATCGATTTTGAATCGAATTGTGTCACCAAAAATCGGAATCGAATCGATTCGCCAGACAGAGATTTGCACCCCTAATATTTAAGCCACACTTTTTAAGCCGCGGATAGTTTTGGTAATCGATTTCTCGAGGGTAGTCGTCCAAGCCTCCCACGAGCTCGGAGTGTTTTAAATGCACAATTCACACTTTGTTCGACTGGTTGCAAACACTTCGTTGTGCCCCCAGGGTGGGGAAGAGAGAACGAGGACAGGGGGAGTATGAAGTTCCCCCCACTCCCACTAATTTGTTCTGTAATTTCATTGGTTGGATTTTATTATTATTATTATTTTTACCTTTATTTATACAGGTAGTCTCACTGAGTCACGAGGACCCACCCCCTCAAGAGAGACATGTATTGGGCAGCTATGTGAGCACCCGGGTGTGACGAGGCTAAATGTTTTGGCGGCATGAAGCCAGTCCAAAAAAAAAAAAATGAAAAAAAAAAAAAAAAATCCATAAATTAGCTGCAGCATTGTATAAACCGTGTTGTTCAAAGCGTGTGGAAAAAAGTAGCGGCTTATAGTCAAAAATTACGGTAGTCTATGTTTTAGTTGTGTTGCATTCATGTACACAACCACATATGAAAAATGTGAATCGTCACCTATAAAATATTTCTGTACGGAACTGATATTTAAAGTTGTGTGTGCACAGATAAAAACAATCCAACCAACTTCATCATGAAATGTAGCCTATTTTACATTATGATCTAGATTATATCTTAAAATGTGTCCTAATTAGGGTTACACAACTAGATAATTAAAGGCAATCTCAGTGAGTCTAAACAAAGTAAGGATACTGAGCTGTGGCTTTAGCCTCAGTTGGCCTGCTATGTCAGCTCAGATTGCAATGCATTATGGTCTTTTCCCTCCGATACAGTGCACAACTTCTTGGGCACTACATGGCGGATAAAAAAACTGGTTGACTTTTCAACACAGATTGAATCTGTTGTAGATCTATTGATGACTGAGTGTTTCATTAAAATCCATTCAGTAAACAGGTGGGCACTGCACAAACCTACAGCTGTGAAGTACCGTCTATGGGGAGGGGGGAGCCGAGCACGTCCACAACACTGACGACACCATCGCAGCCACTGTTTTACCTCCTCAGATGTTTCTCCAGCTCCCAGAAGAGCAGCTTCAGGGCCATGGAGTTTGGGCCTTGTGCTGCCCCTGCCCCGATCAGCCCACTCTCTCTCATTGATGCTTTCAGGTAAAAAAAAACTAAAAAAAAACACACACTCCAACCAGAAAGAGACTAACCCTAACACCGTGCCCTGTGGCCCTCCCTAAACTGAAGGAACTTCACATCGGGGAGCAGCAGCAGAGCCCATGATGGAGCTCTGGATGTAAGGCAGTGTTTACTGAGCCTGGCTCACATGTAGACTGTAAGGTGATTGGGTGAGCACACCACACAGAGGAGGGTGGGCAGTGATGTCACGCCAGCTTCCTTTCTGCCGTTACGTAAACTGTCAGCGGAGATTAGAAAGGATTCTTCCAATCCGATCAGCCGTTTTTGACCACACACCCTGCCCCGGACTTGCTCGCGGTCGTCTAAAAGCCACTCCCTTCGGTTCACACGGCCTCCCGCTCCGTTACATGGTTCCCGCTTGTTGCACTGCACCCTCACAGGTTGCAGGGGAGTACTGGAAACATAAAGGCAAGAGTCGAGACGACGGTCTGAACAAAGGACGA